GAACTTCTAGTTCACATTGATTAGTGCGAGTATCAAAATGAGATAATGACCTCTTTCATTTCGCCCCCTAATGTTGGGAATATTATTTCATCAAAATGACAATCAACAAATCTTGCCATAAAAACATCACCTGTCAGGGGTTCAAGATATTTAATTATGGAAGGGGATTCAAATCCAACGTAAATTCCCAACTTTCTTTCAGGACACATCTTGGTGCGTTATGGTGGAGCAATTAGAACATATACTGCGTAGCCAAAGTCTCGAAGATGGAAAATATTTGGTTTTTGCCCAATGCAAGTTGTAACAGGGAGTATTTTTGATAACCTGTCGGCCTGATGCGAATAAGTGATGCATCATGCAATATGGCATGTCCCCAAGTAGAAAAAGGCAATTTTGTTCTCATTAGTAATGGTCTGGTAATTAATTGGAGACGTTTAATAAAAGATTATGCTAGACCATTTTAAGTATGTACATGGGCAACAGGATGCTCAACGTTAATCCCAATTAACATACAATAATCATTAAATGCTTGGGAGGTGAACTCACCAGCATTATCAAGACGTTGTATAATCTGAAAATTGTGCCTTCAATAGGATTACTTGAGCAAGAAAGCTCTTAAATGTAACATTGTGAGTAGACAACAAACAAACATGTGACCAACGTGTTGAGGCATCTATCAACACCATAAAATATCTAAATGGTCCACATGCTAGTTGTATAAACCCACATGTATCTCGAAATTTTTCCAGAAAAGTGGGAGATTCAATAGTTTGATGACCTAATAATTAATTTACCCTGAGAACAAACAACACAGAAAAAATAAATGGACAAGAGAATCTTCTGGTTATTTAATGGATGTCAATTTGAGTTCTCAATAATTCTTCGCATCATTATCGACCCAGGGTGACCAAGACAGTTATGTCAAAGAGAAAACAATTTTGGATCATAAGCTTTCTGGGTCATCACCATATATGATTCAATTTTGTAAATAAATGTATAATACAACCCGGAAGAGAAAGCGGGTACTTTTTCTAATATTTACTTCTGTATAGATATTCTACATTATTCTCATTTATAGTCTTAATATGATATCCATTACGACGTGCATAGTTGCACTGTCTGCCGTTTGCAGTGCCTGAGATTGTGTTCACATTAGCCTTCACTAATATCAAACTTGAAAAAGATTTTTCATCTTTCAAAATTGTGTGCATAGTTGCAATGTCCGCCAGACATAAATCTTCACCATTTACCTTGGAATCATGATTAGTAAAATCCATACTCTTCATAAAACATAAAATAGAATAAGTAATGAGAATTTAGTGCTAAATAATAAAATAGACAAACATTTATTACATTAAGATAGAATAGTACACACTAGAAGTAGTACATACTAGAAGTTTTTAGTAACATAACATAAACAGAAAAATAATATAAGAGAACTTATTTAGTACTAACATAATATTAGGCATCATGGACATTTTCATCATTGGTTAGGTTACACATATTGCCATTAGGATTCTTAAAGATATCTGAAATATCAAAATGAGTAATGCCAACAGGATCCAGATCATGATGATCAACCAAATTTAGATCAACAAAATTTGTTTCTATGTTTTTCTCTTTTTCTTTCAGTGAAGCTTGGTAAAGATCAACAAGATGCTCGCCCAATGTCCTTTCATACCATACTTATGGCAAAGATTTTCTTTGTTCTTGAACCTTTTCCTTTATCATGTTTCTCCTCATTATTTTCCCACTTCCGGTGGTAAGGTGTAGCTCTCTTAAAATTTGAGGAGTTATTGTTATGACCACCGCGATACCAAGTATTATTTCGACCAGGTCTGTGGCCTCGTTTACGACTACGATTGCGCTCGTTATTATTAAATGATGTAGCATTCGCTTCAGGGAATGGTGCAGAACCAGTTGGGCGAGATTGATGATTTTTCATCAAAAGCTCATTATTTTGTTTAGCAACAAGAAGACATGATATCAGCTGAGAATATTTTCTAAAATTACGCTCTCAATATTGCTGCAGGAGCATATTCGAGGTGTGAAAAATTGAATATGTCTTCTCTAACATATCATTTTCAGTGATATTTTCTCCACATAATTTTAACAAAGAAGTAATTCTAAACATTCCGGAGTTATACTCAGGAACTGTTTTAAAATCTTGCAACTGTATCCTCTCTCATAGTGCGCTTTTGGCAATATTATATCCCTTTGATGGTCATACCTTTCTTTCAAACTTTGCCAAAAGACAGATGAATCCTTTACTGTAAAGGTATTCAGTTTTAATCCCTCATCAAGATGATGGCGAAGGAATATCATTACCTTAGGTACGCTTCATTTCCTTCTTTAATTGTATTTCCAAGGTTCATAACATTAAAATGAATTTCAGCATCAAGTCTCCATAACAAGTAGTTCTTGCTCGAAATATCAAGAGCAGCAAATTCAAGCTTTGTGATGTTTGCCATTGTGAAAAACTATTATATCACAATTTAAAAATTATAAAGTTAAAAAAATAGAAATACAAACAAAAGATGAAAAATTATTCTTCATCAATTATTGCAACGTGAAAGATGCTTATAAATAATAAGCAATATCAACTACCAGACACAAATCACGAAAAAATACATAATAATTCATCAATCATTATTAATTCATAAAACTAATGAATCAATGAGAAATAAAAACCCATATGAAAGAAAAATAAAGACCAAAAACTAATACCTTTAAAATTGCTAAAAGCATGTGAATATAAACTAGAACAAACATTAGTAGCAAACATATATCTCAAACATTAATCTTGAGACACGCCTAAAGCAAAAACCACTTCCATAATAGTAAAGAGATCAAACCGCTAAAGTATATCTTCATACCTCTTCTTCCCTACTTTCAATAAACACAACTGTGAATTTCTTTATGAAGAAATGATAGGAAATGAGATAACGTGTTATAAAATTGAAGGATATATATAACTATTATAAGAGTAAGGTAAATAAATAGAAAAACAAAGAGACTAATATAGAGAGAAAATACTATTATTAATTTTGCACTATTTCCTTTCTTTTATCTATTTTGTCAATTATTATTTATCTCTCTCTCTTACAAAGCTCTGATTGTTGGTATGGCAAGAAGAAGTGATAACTATTTATAGGCTCAATGGGAGGCATCCGGATTTGTCATCCACGTTGGCAACTTGCAAGGGAAGTTGTTGTCATATGTTCTCTCTTTCACACATCTTGCAAGTAAACTTCTTTCCATGGATGAAGTTTCAATAAAACTTTCATCAATGAAAGTTGTTCATGAAAGCCACATATGATCATCTAAGGTTCCGTTTATTTCACCGATTCGAGTTTATAATTTGAGTTTTGTTACAGTAAAAAGCTCTAAGAAATAGTCACATCTAATTTTTTTACTACAGTAAAAAATTTTCACATAAAGTCACATCTCAACTCAAATTAAAAACTTAAATCAACGAACTAAACAGATCCTAAATCTTCATAACATTAATAATAATAATAATAATAATAATAAGAATAATGAGATGTCATGGGTTTTTACAATAATAATAATAATAATTATTATTATTATAAAAACCCATGACATCTTATTATTATTATTACTATTAATTGCAAAAACCCACGGCATCTCCCACACATATATATATATATATATATATATATATATTTGTATTCCCTTCCTACCGGTCTCTCTCAAAATCTATTTGTATATACGTAATTTTGGTTTTCGAATGTATTCTTACCTAAGAAGCGGAGAAGAGAAGGGAAGGGAAAGGGGAAATGGCTGTGATTTTGCTTGTCCGCAAGCTGGGAGAACATGATTTTTGGGCTTCGTGGATAATGGATTCAATGTTAATTAGCGATGATTTGTATAATATATTTTCGGTGTGGATGAAAGCTCGTTTAGTTCATGAATTAGAATCATGAGATTAAAATAATTTTTTATTTATGTATATGTTTTATGAGAAAAAATACTGTAACGAACCATGAACCATGATTCGAATCAGAGAACGAATTCTCTAACTAAACGGGTAATTTTTTGTGACTTTCTAGCTTTAAAAGTTCGTTTTGAAAGTGTTTAGATAATCTCGTCTGGGATCTCATTTCAAAAAAGAAGTTGAGCAGCTGTGCATTCGATATCAGATACAACAACACAAATCCTCAGTGGTTTTACTTTTCAAATAGCTTCTAGTCAAAGCTACAAAATGAGGCTTCAAAAAAAAAAACACTTATGAATAGACTTTAAAACTTACATCCAAATTTTATTAAAACATTATAAACTTAATTTCAATACGCTTATTGGTTATTAGAAATTAAAAGATAGTTTTTAAGCTATTTTATTCCAAACACTTGCTGAAAAAATCACAACTTTTACTTCTCTCTAAAAGCAAAAATAAAAGCTCTTCCAAACGGCCCTTAATCTAACATTTAAGTGAGGCTGTCTCATTGTTTTTTGCGGGTTTCTTTTTAATTAAGTGTTAAACTTACAAAATCACAGAAAAAAAATATGTTGACTTAGAAAATGTATGGATTTGTATATTAAGTGTAATTTAATGGTATATATTTAATAAGATTAAAAACTAAGAGTATAGTTTCTAAAACCTAAAATACGGGGTACAAAAAGATAAATAACCCAATAATTTTTCAATAAATAACTATCCTTTTTTCTTTTTTTAGAAAAAAAATGGTAGGGTTTTATCGCTATCTTTAGAAGTTTGGTTTTTAGAATAAATTGCTTTTTAGAAGACATTATGTTTAATTCAGAAATAAAAGAATAACTAGACCGTGCTGAGCTTAATTTACACCTTTTCATCTTATGTAATTTTGTAAATAGTAAATAAAAGAAAAGTAGAAACAAACGAATAGTTTTTTTGAAATATCAATTCAACAGATTGCTTATCCGCAAAAAAAAAAAAAAGAAAAAAAAAAAAAGAAAAAAAAAAAAAGAAAAAAAAAAAAAGAAAAAAAAAAAAAGAAAGAAAAAGACTCTTCTAAAGTTGCATATGATACTAGTTCAACTCCAACAAAGAAAGGCTTTTTGCCAATCCCATAGGCTGATGTCTAAAGATGTACACAACAATTGCAAAAACCAAAAATCTAATATGAGAAGTCACAAAAATCTCATAGTAGCATTATTTTAGAGAGTGATCTTCACTCCTTAAAATCATCCTTGTCATCAACGGGAATCGGTTGGTTCCTCCAGAATACTGCAAGAGCACTTCCGCCGAGCTGTCATCGACATGATGATGACGTTACATCAGATGTAAAACTAGACAATTTGCATGCAAAATTTAAGGAAGAAAAGAGTTGTACCGCCATGCAAACGACGCTAACAGCAGAAGGAACGGCTACAAGTGGATTTGTGAAATGCTTTTGAGCAAGCAAAAATCCAAGCGCAGAGCTCTGCAGATAAAATGAGCAAGTCAATAGACCTACAGATCACAATTCATTATTTGCCATGCAAATTTGAACTATTGGTACAGAAAAATGACCCTCAAGTTCTAAGTGCATACAACTCAAGATAGTCTATCAGAAGCAATTCTTGATAACATCTCTAAAAGCATTATAGCTGTCATAAAAGGTAAAATAAACTACTATAAGCATAAAAACATTCAATACGTCTACACTAGTCTTTAGTTTTTAGCAGTTCTGCATGGAGTGGCCATTTCTTATGAAGATGTTAAAAGGATATGAATATGATGCCTTGTATCCCTATCTCACCGCTCAGGGTCCTACTAACATCGGTGTTCAATCCTAGTTTTGTTAACTTCTTACTTCTCAATGTAGGCGAATAAAGGGGAAGTATACATAGTGACTTTTCATGGAAGAATGTGGAAACTTGTTTAAGTAATGAAGATAACAATTGTTGTGAAACATGGATAAGAGAGTACAACACTACAGAATGGTGAAATTATAGAGAAAATAGCAGATGATACACTCCAAGAAATTAGTGTTTAGATAGTTCAGAAGAAGGTATTACCTGCATACCACACTCTATAGATATGGTGCGAGAAGTGGATTCACCAAAAGATATTTTTGAAACCCAGTAACCCAGAGCAAATGAGGCACCATGAAGAAGAGCCACTGGCAATATTAGCTGTGCCCCTTGAGCTTTGAGAACTTCTGAAACTTGCCCAATCTGAAATATTAAGGTCAGTTTAGTTGGCCCCTCCCACACAAAGGAACTCCTACTCGAAAGCACTGTAACGAACACCATGAATGCAAGCTATAGACGGGTTGAATGTTTTGCGAACTTACTGGGCTTGCACAAAGGAGAGTAGTGAGAATAACTCCAATTAAAGGTGTAACCGATATAATTTTTGAAGTGAATTTGGGGAAGAATTCATTTGCCAACACTGTGGGGATAGAGCAGGAGTTAGAACTAAGGCATTTATGTCAACGTTCATGGGACTTGGAGATAAAGTTACTGTCTATAGTATGGTAAGTTTCTCCGCAATCCAATTCTGATAGGCATAAACTAGAACCACCATTTTTTTTTTTCTAATTTTGTTTATTAACACCTTTTAGTTACCTCCAACAACTGTTGGCACTAGAACAACCTGGAAAGTGCTAATTGCTAGGCCCTGCATAGAGTGGGAGAAGAAACATTAGTGTGACACATGAAATATAAATTGTTGACACAAGTAATTCACTAGTATACACATCATTATCATTACTACCAGGAGAAATAGAGAGACCATGTATTATTGAGCTTCACTTCCCATATTTCTCAATTCTCAGTTCTGACACGGGACTCTTATTCTTCATGTGGGAGGGCCATGGAATGAATGTTCACAGTTTTTCATTTATTTAAATTACCAAATTTTGCCTCACTGCACCCAACCCAAGCATAACTCGACAGGTCTAGGAAAGCAAGCGTTTTGATGGGATCATCAAAGCTCTGTAATTGCTATTCTAATCTGTACAAGCAAACCCATCAGAAATCTAGGTTGATTGTTGAAAAGCATATTATTGACCATTCTATTTAGTGCTAAACTAGTAACCCTGCCTGCTACTCATGTTATCCAGATTAAGTAAAATTGCTTGATGATGAGTTTTATGGTGTAGTTATTAAAATATTAATTTATCAATCGCATTCGAACTTACAGCGGCGTCAACAGGAACGAGCTGACCAGCAAGAAGCTTGGTAAGAAGTGGAGTCATAATTATAGCTCCTACGGTTGAACACCTACACAAATTCCACAAAATGATTCCAAGCAGCCTTACAGGTAATGCCATTACGATTCACATAAAGTTATGTGATACTGTTTGTATATATTCATGCTTAAGTTCAAACCACTATTATTATTTTCTAGCTCTTATAACATGCATTGGAACTAAGTAATCCACAGCTTGTTGTGAAAACAAATTAATGTAGGCACAAATCTATACAAAATTAACAATAACTATTAAACAGAAAGACAATTGAGTTCTTCTAAAAGATACAGAATATCAAGTTAAGAATAACATAACGTGTAAAGTTATGTAGCCAATATAAGACCTGAACTTATTACATGAAGGCTTAACACCCATGTAGTTTTAGTGGTAATAGTGGCAGATACCCTCAATATGCGACAGAATTTAATTCTGTCACTTTCTACTTGGAAAAAGAAATGATTTTATGCAGCTTACGTCGTCATGAGAACAGATAGCGCCACATTCCCCTTAGAAATATACGTTGCAACATTTGATGCCTGACCTCCAGGGCAGCATGAGACCAAGATAAGGCCGGTTGCAAGAGGTGCGGAAAGTTTTAGAATCTAAAAGTTACATGGAAAATTGTTAGATATATGAGTTCCAAATATATATACATGTTTTATTGTATGTGGAAACTCTAGCAAGTTCAATTCCCATCCACAACAGAAAACATATCCATTTCTAAACTAAATTTTGAGATCCATAAATCTGTTACCAGTCACCTGCCCTCTTGTTCTTGGAGAGGAGAGGGTTCCTAGAAAACGAGTAGGAGATCATGAGCTCTTGCACTGCTCTATAAAGATAAATAACACATATTATGCAAGTTTTGGGAGGTAGTGAATGATGTGTGCTTTTAAAAGATGCTAAGCTCGTCTTCTTTACTGGTTTAGAAGAAATAATTTTGGTTATAGATTTGATCTGCATAGGTCTCTTTTACAACTTGAGGCCATGAAACGTTCTGAAAATAGATTGATCCCAAAAACCAGTGAAAACTATGCTGAAAATCTTGATCAGGAAATTACCATTGCAAATGTGAAGCCTAATATAGGTTTGATCAAGTATTGAGCAAGAAATCCTACACCCACCTGCAACATAAAAGTTTGACAATCACAAATGCTGCGAAAAAGCTCATATATAACTATCTTCAACAAAAAACCAAGACATAAATGTGGATGATAGTTACAGTCCAAGGGTTTCGCAAACATCGTCTGAAATCCTCAAAGGTCAATGTTAACCCCATAGATAGCATGAGAAAACCCAGGCAACCAGTGAAGAGGTCCGTCTCTAACCAAGTCACCTGGAGGAACGCCAAATCTAAACTAGTTAGAGAATAGTTAATATGCAATTCTCCAAAGTAGCAGAAAAATGCAGAAACATTACAGCAGCAGGCTTGTAGATGCCGATAATTGTGCCCAGTATGACCTGTCAAAGCAAGTAAATATGCTTTCGCAAGTAAATATGCGTTAAGAAAGCATATTGAGAAAGAAACTGCTAAAAAAACCCCCAAAGAAAATATACGACTCAAGAAAACATACCCAAACAGGAAAAAGAGTAGTCAGAGTTTCAATAATTCTCTCATACTGGCTCATCCCGCTGGGAGAGCTATCTGGAACGTCCCCAGATACATTTGTTGCAGCCTTGCAAACAACTTGGGAGTGCCTACAAGTACAAGTCAGCAGAATTTTGATCAATTACAAACAATAGCCACAAACCAAAACTTTCCTTTACTACTATTTCATTCCAGCACTAACGTATGTCGGAAAGTTGCATATCACCATCTTATTCAAACTTAAACAAGACATTGTGCCTTTTTTTTAAAGGGGGTAACTGGCATTAGCACACCCCCTGGGCGTTATGAAGGGGACTCCGAAGATGCTGACAAGATTGTCTATTGAAGGCCCCTACTGTTGAGCCACACCCCTCGATAAGAAGTGCGTCACTTCAGCCCCATTGAATGTGCTAGCCGTAAGGATATGTGGAGGCATAGTCCTAGATACTTTAAATCGAGAACTAGGCTGATATGAACAAACTTTCACATTTAAGATCCCCTCGGTAGTCCATTACCGCTAGGCCACCTCACTCAGGGGTGACATTGGGCCAGATCAGTATCTCTTTTGGAGACCCTAAATGTCCTTTGCACATAGTACAATTTAACTATAATTAGTAAAAAGTGTTCAAATAGACTTTGCACATAAACCAACACACTTTTAAGGTTATTTAGAGAAGCTTGAGAATTTTTAACTTTTTCTTTCTACTAGTGCTTCTCGTTTCACCATATGCGAAAAGCTCAATAATCAATCCCAAACTTATTTAATGTCAAGTGTTCAAATCACAAAACGTTCGTAGTGACCAGAATCATCTAAATAGAGTAAAAAAATAAAAAAAAAAATAAAAAAGGGTATGCAACATGTACAAGCCAGCAAAATTTTGATCACATGTTTAGGAAATCAAAATTTTCCAGCTGATCACTATCCTATTCAAAGTGACCATCATGTTTCCCACATTACTTAATGTTTTCTTTCAAGTGATCATAGAAGTAGAATGAAAAACAGAGTTCAATAAATACCTCGAGGATTGAATGATTGAAGGAACACCAAGAGCAACGACTGGACTCCAAGTCTTGCTTCGGATTGTGCAAGTACGTCCATTCTCAGTTACAGAAAATCCACTTCTTAGATCTAAAATGAGTGAAAATTTATTCCAAGTACCAAACTCCAAAAACAAATGATAACCCATGTTCCAAAACCAGCAAAACAATCACAAAAAGAAGAAGAAAATTTAAACAAAATAAAATAAAACTTACCCAGATGGGTTTGGAGCCTCCTCCTAGCAAATAAAGCAGTGCTAGGCCTATGGAAAGCGTGACATGTGTAGAAGTTGCAGTCTTTGGTGGCAAGTCTAGAAATGGACGCCATTGAAGAATTGAGAATATGGTCGATAAACAGTGAAAATTGGGCTTTGCTTTTGGAGTGAAAAGTTTTTACATGCGATAATGATATGAAAGACGCTTTGGTTTGAGTTATGGATACGGAAGCAGTCGTGGAAAACGATGCACCGCACACATCAATTATATCATATGGCCTCATCCAAAATCCAAATTCAGCAAACCCGATTTGCGTTGATTTTTCTTTATTCAAAGCGGGTGATTGACGAGATTATTTCATTTCACTCATTTAAGTTTAAAATTTAAATTTTATTACAGTAAAAAATTTTCAAAAATAATCACATTTAATTTTTTTATTATAATAAAAAATTCTCACATAAAATTATATCTGAACCCAAATTACTCTTTTTTGTTGATGAAGTTTTTGGATTCTTGCAATTATTGGACGTAAGGGTAGTAAATTATATTAGTGGATCGTATTTGTGTCAATCTATTTATTAATCATGTTAAAAAATATCAATCTAAATATGATATATTTATTAAACGTGTTAAAAATGTCAACCAAACACGATCTATTTATTAATTTTGTTAATCGTATCAACTCATATAGCCCGTTTAAATTAATATATTAAATAATTAATTAATATAATAATTACTTATTTAACACGGTCAAGACAAATTTAACATATTTATTAGTCAATTTATCTTTCCCTTTAAGAAAAATAAATGAATTTTACATACAAATATTAAAATTCACATTATTTGTATTTAATATGTCATATAAACTTTCATGTTATATCACATGTCATTAGATTGTAAATGACACATATAGTTTATCGTGTCAACTCGTGTTAGGAGGTCAACCATAACCCAATTTATTTATTAATCATGTTAATCGTGTCAATCTAATTATGTTCTAAATCTATTTATAATAAATTCAAACTTACTAAGTTTATACAGATTTCGAATCGTGTCATCGTATCTAAATTGACAGCGATCGCTACAAATGGGCTTTAGTATTATTGCCCACCTAGCGCAAACAAAGGTTAAAAAGAGAAAGAAGACATTGTACATCGGTCTGAATTTTTTCTTAATCTTAATTAATATTTTTAATTAAATAATTATATTAATCAAAAAAATATTAATTAATAATAAAAAATAAAAATTCTGAATTATACATTCCTAAAAATTTCTGAGCGTACTTTCTCCCCTTTGTAAAAATTACTTTGAGTGTCATGGGAGTAATTTTGTAGGTTCTATTTGTGTGTTGAAGTTTTAATCAACGTATTGTTTTTTCTCCCACCGTTTCATTCTAGCAAACATAATGTTAGTGCTAACAACGTGTTAACAGCTATAACACCTCTATAAGCTTGATTACAACAACAACAAAAAAAATCTATTAAGTGTGGTGGCATGGTATGGAGGGGGGCAGAAAACGGACTTTGGTTCTAATAATTGTGTATAAACGTTTAATCGAACGTGTTTTGGCTGAATATCACATATATATAGGCAAGGAGAACATATATTGAAAAAAAAAATATCATGACAAGCAAATCAGACATAAAATTAATTAGATAGTAGATATGAAAAGAATAGTAGTTGAGTTGACTCAATAAAAAAATATTTAAATAGAGACATTGAAAAAAAAAAAAAAGATTATCTCGGTGAGAAGAAAATGAAGAAAAGGGTATTCATGAAATTATAATATTTGAAAGGGTTGCGTCAAAAAAACAGTTTAAGAATATACGGATGTGTTTAGAATTCGTTCCAAAATGTTTTTATTTTTTTGTATGAAAATGAAAACGAAAACGTTTTCATTTTCATTTGAAATCATTTCTAAAAATGCGTTTGGTAGTTTTATTCTGAGATTGATTTCAGTTTAAAAAAACTGAAATAGTATTTGGTGGTTTAATTTTTAAAAATATGTAATAATATGTAAAATTTAAAAATATTAAATAAATAATAATATTAATATATTATTAGATCAACAAAAATCACAAACTCAGGTGGATTCCGAAAAGTCTCTCTTAGGACTTTTCTCGAATAGGTGGTGTGCATTGCAAGAGCTGCAAAATTTTGCAACTATGGACAACTCTTTGGAACCGTAGGAGATTGAACATCTACAGACGACGGACTATAATCTGCCAACATACAAGAGTAAGAAAGAGACTTAAACCTGCAAATCAGATCTCATAACAAAAAAAACCGCTAAAAATTTGCTCCCTCCATCTCTGCAAATCAGATCCGTTGCCGCCACCCCCACATCCCAGCTCTGGCAAGCCCAGGCAAATCCCGCTGCCAACTTCACGGCCAAGCTCTGGCGAGCCCAGGGAATTGCGCACCTCCGTGGCCGTGATTATGTGAAAACATCGTCTGAGAACGGCGTCTTGAGTTCGGGGAAGAGAGAGAAACGTGTGGAGAGGAGAGAGAGAGAGAGAGAGATATCAGAGAAGATAGCCAGAGCGAAAGAGAGAGAAAAAGAAAACGGAAAAAATGAAATTAGATTTTCAAAAAAGGACAAAAACATTTTTGTTTTTAATTTTTAGAAAAATTTACACCAAACGCATTTTGTGAAACTATTTTCATTTTTTATTCTCGAAAATCGTAAAAAATAAAAACAAAAACGGAAACAAACAGGCCCTACATATTTAAAAAAAAAGTCGTTTTAGTTGGTCCTTTAAAACAAGTCGTCTTTTAAATTGTTATGGGAGAAGTGCCATTCCTAACCAAGCGTACATGCATGCAGCATTTAAATTGTTATGCAACCTAATTGGACTAAACTTACAACTCAGTATTTTGGGAGATATTTACGTTGCCTGAAACAAAAAATATTGGTGGATTGACTTATGGCAGTGGGGAAAAACTCTCAGCTAAACCAAAAATACTAAAATACCCTCAAACTAAACTTGAGAGTTTTTTCTCCCTCTTTTCTCTCTCACATTCACATCCTTCGAACTGGCCGGCAACGACGGTTACTGGCTGATAACTAGTCGATGTCACATTGGTTACCATCGATCATCGGTTCAGTGTTACAGTAGCTGTCAATCACCGGCTGGTATCACGGTGGATACCATTCGATATCAAGATGGATACCATTTGGTATTATAGTGAATTGTAAGGGGCATGTTTGGTATTTTGTAATATGGTGTGATTGACATGGCATGACTGCTAATATGAAAAGCTTAAAAAAGTATATAGGTCAATATTTAATTATAAAAATTAATAAGCCATAACTTGTCAAGTTATGGTTCATAACCAGATAAGTTATGGACAAACTTGTCAAGTTATGATTCATAACCAGATAAGTTATAGACAATAACTTGCCAAGTTATGGTTCATAACCAGACAAGTTATGAACGAAAACAGTAATTTGGCCTATTTATTAACTTATGTAAACTATTCGTCTATTAATTTTAATTCATCTCAAATTTTTACCTATTTTCCTCTTTCTCCCTTCTTTTTTTAAACACAAGTCAATGAATCAAGCCTTCGGTTACTTCTGTGAATAGCCCATACTTGGGCCTTTTTCATTTGGATCCATATGAGAAAACAATGTTGGATAACCTAGCTTTCTTTACGCAACCGTGGCTAAGTGATTAGTGGGCCTTTCTAATTTCTAAAAGTTCCAGAAGTAATCTATGAAGAAAGCAAGAAATAAGACTAGTTTAAAAGTAGATAAATATTGCAGTATTTTCCACTGCTAGCAAGGAAGGCAAACATCAGGTGTAGTGCTGGTTTTCTCTTTTTAAATTGTCCTTTAGTTTGTGTGAGTCTATTAGCAGTGACAAACATATGACATATCATTAATTTGGTCCAAGCTATCTTTTGGACTTTGGAGCCTACTCATAGAGAGCTTTGTTGGTTGTTTTTATTGTGCTTGAAAGAAAATCTCATGGAATAATAAGTTGTTGATTTATTGGCTCTCTTTTTAGCATTAATAATTTTCTTGGATATAGATTCAGGATTATATCTTTTTGATTCTTATCTATCTACATATCTATATCATCTGTCCCACTACTATTTAGGTCTCCTAACTATTTTTTTTGTGTTCATATTATATCTCCATTTTCGTTATGTTTATTTTTTTCTCACAAAAATGGATATCCCATACTCCTCGCAGTGGTCCAAATGAAAAGAGCTGTTTGGACTGAGAGAAAATGGAGGTATTTAGTGCAAGGTATCACCCAGTCAAGAAAATCTGGTCAGCAATTGGGAACTTTTCGTGGGGACCTCGGTGGACGTGTTACGCGGGCTTGATTAGGGACCATACACTATTGGTCAATATCATGTACACACTACACTACAACGATATATATATATATATATATATCTAGTATATATAAATAGCCCTTATATAGTATTATTCACGTTTTATCACTCTCCAACTACTCTGCTTTATTATGCATAGCTAAAGGTAGAACTTTGTCTCAAAGACTCTCTTTAACCACGGAGACAAAATTATTCAGACGTAAAGGAGTTTTAGCGCAACTACTGCATTTAATTTAGTAGCTTTTGAAAGGTTTTTATTTATTTATTTATTTACTTTATATTTTAGAGTTAGAACTCCTACATTTCACCGATTTGAGTTTAGAATTCTAGTCTCGCTACAGTAAAAAGCTCTCAAAAATAGTCACATCTAACTTTTTTACTACAGTAAAAAGCTCTCACATAAAGTCACATCTAAACTCGAATTAAAAACTCAAATCAGCGAACTAAACGGACCTACTTCATATCTACTATTTCTCTAACTTACATGGCTGGCACTTAGGAGTTAGGTTTGTCGTTATTTCATATATTATACTCCTGAAATGATGGTATATAATGGTTTTGCAATGAAGTTCTTGTTTGTTACTGATTTTCTTGCTAGGTGCTCACATTTTCCTCTTTTGTTTCATTTCTTAGAGTAAATTCCATTACACCTTAAGTTTTTCATTCTTGTATAATACGCCTCAAACTTTCAATTTTAGCCAATTACACCCCTAATTTTAGAATCAGTAGCAGTTTAGGTCCAACAACTAACTAGCATTATCGAATTGATGGTTTTGCACACGAGATTGACTATGCTGTTGTTTCTATTGGAATTGTATCGAGCCTGTCAACTATAACATCCTATGCATGGAACACACATGAAAGAAAAAGTTCGTTTTAAATTAGGTAACTTGCGAATTTTGTATCATGAACTGTCAATTTGATAACGT